TATATATATATACATACATATATGGTGTATAGCTTTTTATATATCAGTACGGTACGTTATATATTGTACAGTATCTGTTCCCACTGGTTTCACCGAAGTGGTCCACAATCTCCTTGGTTGAGTGTTGACCCCTGCAGCCAGGCTCAACATCTGCCCCAACTGTACAACCCCAACCCACCAGCGACCCAGTTGCTCCCTACAGTTCGACTTTTCAAGAGTCCGAGGGCGACCTGACCCCCAGGCGTCCTCTGACGGGAAGCGGCCCGCCTTATCGAGCTTGGGCTGCCCCACCCTCTGCCAATGCATCTCCTCGGCTCTGCAGATCAGGATTCAGGGTTTAGGGTAGAGTGTGGCATAGGGGCTTCAGCACAAGCCTCTCCAGGGACGCAGAAGAAAATGAGAAAACGCTGACGAACAAGAGCTTCTCAGGATCACATATATGCTTGGAATGTCAGCCAGCCCAAGCGCATCTGTTCAGCAGGTGGCCTGCTTAGCAGTTTGCACAACAACTTCTCTGAGTGCGAGCAGTCTGCCAAGTCCCCCTGAAGCTTCCCGAAGATAGAATCCAGGCACCTCAGCTGAAGTTTGCGGTGAACGTTTGATCCTGTTTCTTCAACGCCCAAGTAGTGCATTGCTTTTGGAACGGCCAAGAGTCCTGACAACACTCGACGCGAAGAGTATGGGCAAACAGCTTTGTCAACCGTGGCAACGTGGTCCGAGTTCCAGCACTTGCAAGAGAACTCCGGAGCGTTCCCAATCACAAACTCGAAAACAGTAAAGACTGACAAATCCTAAGCAAAAGCAGCTCGCAGGGACCTCCTGTGGCCTCCTACGACGCTGCTGAACGGAGAAAACTCGTGGAAAAGCCCGTGCGCTCCCCAATGCAGAACCGGCAGCGGCCTGTCCATGATGTTCTTCTCCTTCTTGGAGAAGCGCAGAAGCCTTAGGGATTCTAAGTGTTTCGGAGAGTGACGGAGCCACGGACAAAGTCTGTAATGAAGGCCTCTTTGTCCATCACTCCGACTGTGAGCTGCGATCAAGAAGCTCGAACTTGTCATTGTGCAGCGAGCTGGCCTCATCCAAGGCCGAGACTCTTCAGTCGCAAAAAAACTCGGAAGCAACTTCATGGAACCAAGAGCTCTAATTCAACACAGTTCAACACCACTTCCAAACCGAAACACCGTACACCCCAGCAGAAACCACCACTGCACATATGCTGCTACCACTAAACTCTGAGAATGGAAGTTCAGACTTCAGACTGTCCATCTCTGCCTTGGCCCAAGAGCTCCAGAGCCAGACAACCAACGCAGCTGCGACAAGCAAGGCCGAAAACCACCTCACTTGGGTCGACAGGGCATGAGGAAGAACTTGCAGGGTTTGGGTAGGTCGGCTGTTGGGTGTCGAGTGGCCGGCAATCCCAGGAATGCTACTAAAGAAAGCTGTCCACGTCTACAACATGTTTCTGAATCTCTGCTGTCGATTCTCATCACATGCACAATGGTGCAGTACTGCTTTTCTGACTCTTTTTGCATCTGGTTCCTCATGGTTCCTCCACCACTGCTACGACCACAACTGCGACTTGGACTGCGAAAACACAGGGACGGTGATAACGCCACCCACTCGTGCTCCTCCTCTTACTGCGACGACGACGAGTACGATCGGGCGACTGCTCAGTGATTTCGAACAAGACTCAGCCCCTTTCCCGCAAGGGCAAAATGCAGCAGTGATGCTCGACGGCCTTCAACGACACTGGCGCTGTCCACCGGTCCTGGATCAAACAAACAACGTTTGAATCGCGAGAACATGTAGCATTGTGCAGAATAGTGACATATTGCGCATATGCCTGGCACAGTATGGTTGCTCAGACCACTAGCGCTGAAGTAAGCGAGCAAACGGCTCGCCAAGAGTCAGCAAGTATGTTGTTCGGAGTGCCGCTGCAACCATGAGTACGCAGTTTCCATTCAGTAGTTCAGGATAATGTGGTGGGAAACGCTGCTTATGTCAATCACTCTTATGGGCGGAGAAAAAATTCGATAGCGAAGGGGGCTGCAAAGATAATACAATGACATTATGTGGACGTTCTAGTAAGCATGCTATGTTGGAAACCTTCTGGTTTTGACACATGCGCCAGCCCGCAATGTTTTCGGATTTTCGAAATTTACAGCTGAACCACGGGATAGATGTAGACCGACTCCGGCTCTAGACAAGAGCCAGAATCGGAGCATCTGCTTCTCACAACGCATCCGTGCCCATGCTTCATTCTTTAGTGGCCCATCCACGTCGGTGCCTGCCCCTGGTCGTGGTGACAGCACATGCATGGCGGTAAATATGCAGTCTCATCTCCCTAGGAATGATCCAGGGCTCGAAGCTTCCCCACCATGTCTAAACGGCCCAGCCCACACTCTTGAAAGCCACTGAAGTCTCAGTCCTCGAAGAAGGTGCGAGCGGTGAAGTGCAGCGAGCTGCCGATTACCAGCCAGAGCCCAGCGACAATCATGCCTGGGAAGAGATTTCCGTCTTTGTGGCGATTCCGGTTCCTTCTCACGACATTGGAAGGCATGAGCCTGAGCCGACATGCCATGGAAGCTGCCACCTGCCCCCTTCTCGCCACGAGAACGAGAGAGAGCGAGCGAGATAGCGCGAAAGCCGCTTACGGCCAAGCTAACGTTTTATTCTTGCAGCCGTGGCACGCATTATGAACAGTACCCGGGGGATGAACAGGCCCTGGGACCGCAGGCAAGCTGAACGGAACACCACTGTTTCTCGCCACCCATATTAACTCATAGCAATGTGGCAGCACGAAGTGTCTCTTTATGGCTCTCCGCAGGCTCTGTAGTTCTTAGTCTTCGGCTCTTCGGCGTGGCTAGGTGCAGCTCATATCCTACTAGCAAGCAAGATAGCACTCCTTAGGCTGTCGACTTCTCACACAATACCCAGGCCTGGCTCTCCGGACCGCAGAGGAATCCACGCACGGAAAGAATGTGCTTGTCAATTCCTGGGGAGCTCCGGGCAGATGCGACAGTCGTGCAAGCGCTACTTGGTACCGTGGGTCGGGGATGTTCTCCTCCGGAACTTTGACCCCATCTTCCTGCTCACCTTGCAACCGAAGGACTGTACTTCATCGCGAAGAACAGGGCACCACAGGGTAGCAGCGAGGGCATGAGCACGCCGAGGTTCACGGCCTGGCGAATCACCAGCGATCAGCGAAACAACCAATCAGCTAGGCAGGCCGATGTTCGATGAGATGGTTCAGGGACTGACCTCGAGCGCTTGATCGACAGTGAGCCTGTGCTCATCTTGAGTGCAGGGGGGTGCACAACATCTATGACTTGTGGATTCTCGGGTTCTCATATCCCATGCCCTGCCCTTAATATCAGCTTTGTTCCACATTCAGCGCTCGGCGAGCCGATGACTCAACACACTCACCAACACACTTTGCCAAGCGGCGGTGGTAAGAATGGCAAGGGTGAAGGCATACCAGTATCCCCAAGCAAAGATCCACGGTTCGTGGTGCGATAGCAGCCACCGAACAACAAGCTGACTGAGATTCCTTAGGCGAGGTTCTTGCAGCACACGGAACCACGGGCCCACAACACGAACTGAGATTCAGTAGGCTGTTGGTGTTGGTCAGGAAGGTGCAGTTCAGCAAGTAGCGCACCTTGGCCAGGGCGCTCTGGTGAACATCCGAAAGTGCTGACCAGCAGTCACGGGCAAAAAACTGCATGCAGGGCAAGATGCGTAGAAAAGGCCAGGCGAACTGAACATGCTTCCGTCCAGCAGCTGCAGCACCGAGATGTCCTGCTCTGAGACTTCTGCAGGCTCTCCGAAGTTGAGACTTTGCCTTACCCGCCCTTCTTCAGAGTCCTGTGTGTGATCTGCAAGCTTCACCTCCAGAAACTCCAGGAGAGCCGGGATGCCGGTGAGGCCGAGCAATGGGATCAGCAGCTGATTCAACACCTGAAGTATCCGCCGACGGCGTGCACTTGAGCTGCTATGCGGCATACTTGTGCATGCTACACAAACCTCTTCTCCACTCACATCAGCCCAAGCACGAGAAACACGTAGTTCATCAGCCTTGGCAGACGTCTTTGGTCTGAATGCCCAAAGCAAAAAGATTGCAGGACCTTCTCGCATTGGAGCACGACCCCTACACGACAACGGAAGGACCTCAAAACCTGGCCGCATAGCCAAGCCACAGCTGGTTCACCTCCACCTGCACCGAGAAGTCCAAGACTCATGCCCTTATGCAGTGACCGTAAGATGTGTAACATCGCGCCAAAGACTAGCGAGCTGGAGCCTTGGACAGAGTGTGGCTCCGAGTAAAGCGACCTCGTTTTCACAGATCGCAGACATAGGTGACCAGCCACGTCGCTCATCTACAAATAATTAGATATAGATATGCGTGTATATATATATATGTATATGTTTATTTATTTATTTATTTATTTATTTATTTATTCATTTATTTAGTTATATTGATGCATATACAAATACAAATATACACAAAAGGTATATATACTCTATATAGAGAGAGAGCGCTCTTGCTACTACATGTCGGACGTGGGTGCAGGCTCGGCCAGCTGCAACCCGACGCAGCAAAGAAGTTTTCGACGTTCTTTCCGAAAATTCTGCCGGAGCAGTTTGGTTTAGGGGTTTGGGTTTCGGGTTTAGGGTTTAGGGTCTAGGGTTTTTGCTCAGCCAGCCGAGAGGCAAATCTCGCCGATAATCAAAGGAAGCAGCAAGGAGTTGATGAGCAGAATTATCTTGGCCAAACGACTTGGCAGAAATTCCCGCGGGACTAATTAAGTTGAGATGCGAGGCCGACGTCAGACTTTTTCAAGGCACCATGTCTCCGATGCATCTCTGTCGACAGTGAGTCTACCGACCCCAACGATGTGAGACAGGAAAATGGCAATGCTTCGGACGTGCGGCCATGGTTGGTAGCTGCATCGACATCCAGCGCCAAACGCCACCCCTGTCCTGCATCAAGGAGTGTCATAGAAACATGCGACAGTATCAGAGCTCGAAAACAGCACTAAGTCGCAGTTGATATTCTCACAAGATGCGTGAGTGGGGTGGGGGGGGGGGATGTCCGGAAGGAATACACCAAGGCGTTGCTCCACCTCGGCACAAAAGCTGTGGCGAGGCTGCTCAGCTCTGCAGAAGGGCTGCATGGATGCGAACCCGCCGGCTGCCCGCTTGATTGCAGCAGAAAGTCTGCGTGACGGAGACCTTGGGAGCCTTTCCGAAGTTCCTTGGACGAGGAGTTAACATCCAGCACCACTGTCTACACCGTCAACAAGTCTCCGCAAGGATTGCTCAGCAAGCAAGACTTTTCACGTCTGTCGGCCGGAATGATGGTGTTCAGCTCTGAAGAGACAGACCTTTGCACTCAGCGAAAAGGAGGAAAACTGGCATCAATCAAGCGCAGCTGCTAGCCTATCATGCTTCCAAGGGGCACGGGTGTGACGACAACTAGCATGAACACCAGAAGCAGCAAGGTAGCGCTTGTCAAGCGCAGACCCCTGACATACTTCCAGCTTCGTCCGTGAGACCGCATGCATCAACCCACTGGCGCATCTACTTCAACTAAGTATGAGCTAGAAGTTGCTATCGGTGGTATGAATATCAATCAAGAGCCTCTTGTAGTAGGGGATATGCAGATTCTCCCAAAGCACGTCGGCTGGATGGGGTGCCCGCCGACACCTGAACATGCAGCATCACTTTCAGGGGGCCATGTGTTGCTGGGTTTGCGCGACACAAGCCCACCAGTTTTGCAGCGGCCTCAACGTAACAGAAGAGAAAGGCGGCTGGCCGAAGTTGAAATACGCGTAGGAATGGAACCTGGGTCTGAGTGAAAAAGCCAGGCCACTACGTGCAGGATCAAACAGGGCCAACTCGGATTGCAGCCGGGGAGCTTCCAGCAAGACGGTATGTCTTCAAGCAAAGTCGCTTTGTACTTGCGTTCCTGCCAGGATGATTATGCAACGACGAAGACGACGACGACGACGACGACGACGACTACTACTACTACTACTTATTATTGTTATTATTATTATTAGTACTACTTTTGTTAGTATCATTCTTATTATTGTTACTACTACTAACTACAACTCCTATCTCAAGCATCAGGCTCAAGTCAAGGAAGACACTGGACAAGAAACTCCGTTTCGAGCCAGAGATCTGGCCCTGCCGGCCTGGAAGGTTACAAAGGCACCTCGGCACAAACTAAACGTGCAAAACTCGGAGAAGGCTTTGCAAAACCCGCGCTTCTTGACAGTGTCACTTTTGAAATTCCCCCTGCAAGCTCTTCCCACGGCTCTGGACGCAACTGGGCCACTGCCACTCATTCGCTTGGCAGACAGCTCCATGTCGTCCAGCTCGTGCTTCAGATCTTGTGTCTGCGCGCAACTTGGGTCTGCTCAGGTGTACACGTACAGTATATACTTCGACGCTAAAGCATCCAAAATCCCACAACAGAAAACGATCCGTGGGTTAGGGCGCTTAGGGCATACAGCCTGCAAGGTTCAAGGAACACGGAACAACAGGCACCAACAAAACGGAACAGATCAAAGACAACTTGCTTTGGGATCTATTGTAGTTACAGATTCACGGGGGCAGCCCATGAGAAAAGGGCGCAATCGCCTGTTTGAGTCCGCCATGCTTAGGAGTGCAGAGATCCCTGCACAGGGCCAGGAGGCGCGCCTTCCGCTCAAGCCGCCGGACTTGTCTAGATAACCACCATATACGGAGACGCGGAGAGCACCTGGAAATGCCCAGCATGCGAAGCCATGTTCCAAAAAGATTGTTGGGCAGTCACGCACATCCACCAGAAAAAAGCTGCAATCCCGAAAGTGTCATCGAGGATGCCTGGTTGATAGAACAACGAATCGAAGAGATGACACACCGAACACCCTACCCAACTGCCATTGGCAGTTATTTGTGGAACCCCGATGTCTGGTGCCGATTTCATGCAGACAGACTGCAGTAGCCTGAATCTACTTGCCAAGGCCACGGCTATTGTGGGAATCTGAACAACCATGCTAAAGGGCCTTTACCGACCAGTTGATGACCCTTAACTCGACGGCCCGACCGGCAGAGACAGCAGTGCTGGTGCAGCTCCGCCTGGTACCAAAGAAGCACAAAATGGGTTTTAACTCGAGAGAGCTTGAAACGGCGGAGTCCGGGTGGCAAACACGACGAAGCAAGGAACACGTGAGGGGTATTTATTCCCGCTCTGTGCGATGGCATGCGTCGGTATGCACGTATCGATACATATACTCTACCAGCGCAGACTTGCACAAGTGACACTGCAGGCTGTGCAAGAGAGGGTGTCCCCAGCAAGGGTTTGGTTCGGTCCTGGGCCTCTGCCTCTTCTGATCTTCTTCACTCGCCGCAGAAAGAGTCCGCGTTGCGTCAGGAGCAGCAGCTTCGCTGCCGGCGTCTTTCGACACGCTACTTGTAGCCCCCAAGCCTAGATCTGCATTCCATCGTCTCTATGCATCCTCCGCCCCGAAGGGCCCTGCTGTGCGAGGAGCATAGAAGACGTTATTGCAATAGACTGTAAAAAATGAGCATGAGAGAGAAGCAGTAGTAGATGGAAAGGTTTCCTAGGATAGATCATGTGGAATGCAGCTTGAAAAATGTGGCGCACATAAGTGTCGGTAGCTCAGTTCTGTACGGCTACGCATCCAGAATCTGTGCCTCGTCTTTGATGAGGAAGAATACATACGAATTTCGTAGAGATATCACTTCGGAAGCTGGCGTGACCTGCTGTGCCTTGCGATTGTCATCAGTCAGAAACCGGATGCCCGTGCCTTGGACTAAGGCTGCACGATAATGACCACGGGTTATGGTGGGGCCTAAGTGGTACACAATGGCCGAGGTCCTATAATTGACCCATTCTACCTGGCAGTTTACCTGAGTAAAGTGGGGGAACTTTACCTTATAGGGAGATGGGATGCTTCCTAGGCATTTGCGGCCGTGATCGTCAAATCGTGCGACCTGCAGCAAAAGAAGGGGCGGAGTGCCCTCAGCGGCCGCAAGAACTCTTGTCTGGCCTCGCACAGTTTGTTGATGCCACTGATTGACTAGTGCTTGCAAGGTTGGTGAGCCTGAAAATGCTGCTGCTGATCGGATACTCGCGGTAAGCGGCAGTGGTGTCATCGTGCCGGCATCAACAACCTCAGAGGGAAGCTCCGGTGAGGTGGGGGGAAGGCGGGCTTCCCAGGCACTGCTGAAGGATATGAGCTTCGGGCTCAGGAATTGCAAAAATTCCGCGGCGTCTTGCTGGCCTTCTGAAGGCCAGGTCTGGACTACTTGCTGCCACCTAGGTATAGACCAGAGGTGAGTGCGCGCGCCTGCTCGGGTGAACACCTGTTGCAGTGCGAGCCGGAGCCCAGCATCAGGCGGCGCGGAATCAAAATCAGCCTGGGAGGCAGACCACAAATATGCTGTTAGTACCGAGTTACCATAGCAGTAGTTTGACTGATTACCTAGCATGAGGCGCAGGCAGGCCTCGGAGAAGCTCATAGCCTCTTGGCTGCCTCCTCTACGGAGCGCTCCAGTGGGCCACGGCCAAGTTTGGCTGGCCGGACTGTCCCTCCGATTAGGTGCCATACTGAGTTGAAGCTCAGTCTTTCCAGAGCCAAGTACGTGGTTTGGCTCTCCTGGCACCTGTTGTGGATCTCGAGGGTGAAGGGGACGATGTCGGAGGTCATGTTGGAGGTCAAGCGCCGCAGAGCATGAAACCTCAATATGACCTTTGGAAAGATCAAGTTCTGCTTGATCTGTGCCAAATAGGCTTTGGCTTGGGCAATCGGCATGTGCTCCTGCTCGGACTTCTCGTGTTTCTTCGTTGTCTGGTTCCAGCGAAGATAGAGAAACTTGCCGTCTTCTACCAGTCCAAGCTTCTCGAGCCTCAGGACGTCTTGGGGCTTGTCTTCCAAGGCCTCCACTCTCTCCAGGAGAGTTCCCACCAGACAATACATGAGGGTTGTGCGGAGGGTGGCATTCAGGCTGCCCGGATCGTTCTGCTTCTTGTCGTGCCACGCTTCGGCTGCTTGAAACAGGTTCTGGACTATGGCCCATTGCCCCGTGGAGGCCGTGTCCGCTTCGCCTTCCGGCATCTGGGGCTGCATGGTTGTCTTCAAGAAGACCATGAAGCCCAGGTCCATCTGCAGGTAGGCTATTGTGTCCGCCTGGCGGAGCACAAGCCTCACGAGCTCCTTCATGAGCTCTCGGAGCTCCTTCTCCTTCTTGTTGTCGTGCTCGCTGTCCTGCATCCACCAAGGGTGGTCGCCGTACCGGGAAGTATGACCCCAGTCCCGTCTGTTGTAGGGCTTGGGATTGCTTGGCTGACTTGCCTGGCCTCGCTGAGGACTTCGACGAGGGCGGTCCGTCGCCGGAGGTTCCGGGGCTTGCTCCTTGCTGCCCTCTCCTTTGCCCGTTGCCTTTTGCCATTTGGAGGGTGGCTCCTCCTTTTCGAGATCCTGCGCGTCCGTCTCCGCTCTCTTGTCCCTCGCCGTGGTGTCCATGTCCGTGGTCGCCGGCTCTTCGGCTTGCGACGCTGCCGTCGACTGAAGGGGAGATTCCGGAACTGTCGAGGCTCCGCTCCCGAAGAGAGGGGGAGTTGGCTTGAGGTGTCCCGCAAACTGGGAGAGCTCCTGTGCCGCACGAAGTAGTTCCTGCTCGTCCGCCATCTTGGAGAGCTTGCTGACCTGGATCACTGAGTGAAGAAAAGTGGCTTAGGAGGAGACCACACGTCCAAAGAACAGGACAAGCACGCTGATGTGCCTTCGGAGTCTGCTGGAAGGGCTGCGAACACCAATTGCAGGGTCTGCTGATCACCCGCCTTTCTTGGGCCCACTGACGGATGCCGGCATCTGAAGGAACTATGTCAGCATGTTGTCTACATGCATGGCGTGCAATGTACATGC